TATTAATTGAAAAAACGCTTATTTTTCTCTTATTTTAATTGAAAAAAATGTCTACGCTTATTTTTCTCTTATATTAATTGAAAGAAATGTCTACGCTTATTTTTTCTCTTATTTTAATTGAAAGAAATGTCTACGCTTATTTTTTTCTTTCTTATATTATTTTTCTCTTTATTTAAAGAAATGTCTACGCTTACGCTTATTTTTCTCTTTATTTTAATTGAAAGAAATGTTACGATTATTTTTCTTATCTTATATTAATTGAAAGAAATTTAATTGATAGAACGCTTTTTTTTTCTCTTATTTTAATTGAAAAAATGTCTACGCTTATTTTTTCTCTTATTTTAATTGAAAGAAATGTTTACGCTTTATTTTTTCTCTCATTTTAATTGATAGAATTGTCTACGCTTATTTTTCTCTTATTTAATTGAAAGAAATGGTTACGCTTATTTTTCTCTCTTATTTTAATTGAAAAATTTTTTTATTTTCTCTTATTTTAATTGAAAAATTGTCTACGCTTATTTTTTCTCTCTTATTTTAATTGAAAGAAATGTCTACGCTTATTTTTTTCTCTTATTTTAATTGAAAGAAATGTCTACGCTTATTTTTCTCTTATATTAATTGAAAGAAATGTCTACGCTTATTTTTTTCTCTTATTTTAATTGAAAGAAATGTCTACGCTTATTTTTTTCTCTTATTTTCTTATTAATTGAAAGAAATGTCTACGCTTATTTTTCTCTCTTATTTTAATTGAAAGAAAATGTCTCTTATTTTAATTGAGAAAGAAATGTTATTATTTTTCTTATATTAATTGAAAGAAATCTTATTTTTCTCTTATTAATTGAAAGAAATGTCTACGCTTATTTTTCTCTTATTTAATTGAAAGAAATGTTTACGCTTATTTTTCTCTTCATATTAATTGATAGAATTGTTCACGCTTATTTTTCTCTCTCTTATTTTAATTTTGAAAGAAATGTCTACGCTAATTTTTCTCTCTTATTTTAATTGAAAATTGTCTTTATTTTTCTTTATTTTAATTGAAAGAAAATTCTTTCTTATTTTTTCTTTTATTTTAATTGGAAAGAAATGTCATCGCTTATTTTTTTTTTTTATTTTAATTGAAAGAAATTCTACGCTTTATTTTCTCTCTTATATTAATTGAAAAGAAATGTCTACGCTTTATTTTCTCTCTTTTCTTTTAATTGAAAGAAATGTTTACGCTTATTTTTCTCTCTATATTAATTGAAAGAAATGTCTTGCTTATTTTTTCTCTTATTTTTAATTGAAAAAGAAATGTCTGCGCTTATTTTTTCTCTTTATTTTCTTTGAAAGAAATTTCTACGCTTTATTTTCCTCTTATTTTAATTGGAAGAAATTTCTTTTATTTTTTCTCTATATTAATTGAAAGAAATGTTATTATTTCTTTTCTTTATATTAATTGAAAGAAATGTCTACGCTTATTTTTCTCTTATTTTATATTGAAAGAAATGTCTATTTTATTTTTCTTATTTTAATTGCAAAAGAAATGTCTATTTATTTTTTTCTCTTATTTTAATTGAAAGAATGACGCTAATTTTTCTGAGTTATTTCACTGAAGAATGTTCACTAATTTTCTGTAATTTTCTATTGAAAGAAATGCTCAATTTAGTTTCTGTGTTATTTTAATTGAAAGAAATGTCTACGCTTATTTTTCTCTCTTTTTTAATTACCTTATTTTTTCTCTTAAAGAAAAATGTCTACGCTTTTTATTTTTCTCTCTTATATTAATTGAAAGAAATGTCTAGCTTTTTTTTTCTCTTATTTTTCTCTCTTATTTATTAATTGAAAGAAATGTTTTTATTTTTCTCTTATTTTCTTTTAATTGAAAGAAATGTCTTTTTCTTTTTTTTTCTCTTATTTTAATTGAAATGAATTTTACGCTTATTTTTCTCTCTTATATTAATTGAAAGAAATGTCTACGCTTATTTTCTCTCTTATTTTAATTGAAAGAAATGTCTACCTTATTTTTCTCTTATTTTAATTGAAAGAAATGTCTACGCTTATTTTTCTCTTATTTTAATTGAAAGAAATGTCTACGCTTATTTTTCTCTCTTATTTTAATTGAAAGAAATGTCTACGCTTATTTTTTCTCTTATTTTAATTGAAAGAAATGTCTACGCTTATTTTTCTCTCTTATATTAATTGAAAGAAATGTTCACGCTTATTTTTCTCTCTTATTTTAATTGAAAGAAATGTCTACCTTATTTTTCTCTCTTATTTTAATTGAAAAAAATGTCTACGCTTATTTTCTCTCTTATTTTAATTGAAAGAAATGTCTACGCTTATTTTCTCTCTTATTTTAATTGAAAGAAATGTCGCTTGTTTTTCTCTCTTATATTAATTGAAAAAGAAATGTCTACGCTTATTTTTTCTCTTATTTTAATTGAAAGAAATGTCTACGCTTATTTTTCTCTCTTATTTTAATTGAAAGAAATGGCTACGCTTATTTTTTCTCTCTATTTTTAATTGAAAGAAATGTCTACGCTTATTTTTCTCTCTTATATTAATTGATAGAATTGTCTACGCTATTTTTCTTATTTTTCTCTCTTTTTTTTTAATTGAAAATGTCTTCTTATTTTTTCTCTTATATTGAAATTGAAAAAATGTCACGCTTATTTTCTCTCTTATTTTAAATTGAAAGAAATGTCTACGCTTATTTTCTCTCTTATTTTAATTGAAAAAATGTCTACGCTTATTTTCTCTCTTATTTTAATTGAAGAAATGTTCACGCTTATTTTTCTCTCTTATTTTAATTGAAAGAAATGTTTACTTATTTTTTCTCTTATTTTAATTGAAAAAATGTCTACGCTTATTTTTTCTTATATATTATTTGAAAGAAATGTCTACGCTATTTTTCTCTTATTTTAATTGAAAGAAATGTTCATGCTTATTTTTCTCTTATTTTAATTGAAAGAAATGTCTGTGCTTATTTTTCTTTATTTTTTAATTGAAAGAAAATGTTTACGCTTATTTTCTCTCTTATATTAATTGAAAGAATTGTCCGCTTATTTTCTTTCTCATATTAATTGAAAGAAATGTTTACGCTTATTTTTCTCTTATTTTAATTGAAAAATGTCTACGCTTATTTTTCTCTTATTTTAATTGAAAGAAATGTCCATATTTTTCTCTTATATTAATTGAAAGAAATGTCTACGCTTATTTTTCTTTCTTATTTTGAAAAATTGAAAATTGAAATGTTTACGCTTATTTTTCTCTTATTTTAATTGAAAGAAATTGCTTACTCTTATTTTTCTCTCTTATATTTATTTTAAAAAAATTGTCTATATTATTTTTTCTCTTATTTTAATTGAAAGAAATGTCTACGCTTATTTTTTTTCTCTTATTTTAATTGAAAAAATGTTCGCTTATTTTTTTCTTATTTTAATTGAAAGAAATGTCTACGCTTATTTTCTCTCTTATATTAATTGAAAGAAATGTCTACGCTTATTTTTCTCTTATTTTAATTGAAAAAGTATCGCTTATTTTTCTCTCTTATTTTAATTGAAAGAAATGCCACGCTATTTTCTCCTTATTTGAACGAAAAAATTTTCTTATTTTTCTCTTATTTTAATTGAATTTTTCTCTCAGAAATGTAGAACTGTTCACGCTTATTTTCTCTCTCATATTAAGAAATTGATTATTTTTCTCTTATTTTATTTTTTTCTCTTATTTTAATTGAAAGAAATGTCTACGCTTATTTTTTCTCTCTTATTTTAATTGAAAAAAATCTTCCTTATTTTCTCTCTTATTTTAATTGAAGAAATGTCTACGCTTATTTTCTCTCTTATTTTAATTGAAAGAAATGTCTACGCTTATTTTCTCTTATTTTTTTCTTTTTAATTGAAAAATTGTCTACGATTATTTTCTCTCTTATTTTAATTGAAAGAAATGTCTACTTATTTTTTTCTCTTTTTTTAATTGAAAGAAATGTTTACGCTTATTTTTCTCTCTTATTTTAATTGAAAGAAATGTCTACGCTTATTTTTCTCTCTTATATTAATTGAAAGAATGTCTACGCTTATTTTTCTCTCTTATTTTAATTGAAAAAATGTCTACGCTTATTTTTCTCTTATTTTAATTGAAAGAAACAATTCACGCTTATTTTTCTCTTATTTTAATTGGAAAGAATTGTTCACGCTTTATTTTTTCTCTCTTATTTTAATTGGAAAGAAATGTTACATTTATTTTTCTCTTATTTTAATTGAAAAATTGTCTACGCTTATTTTTTTCTCTTATTTTAATTGAAAGAAATGTCTACGCTTATTTTAATCTCTCTATTTAATTGGAAATAAAATAACGCTTATTTTTTTCTCTTATTTTAATTGAAAGAAAATGTCTTATTTTAATTGAGAAAGAAATTTACGCTTATTTTTTCTTATTAATTGAAAGAATCTTATTTTAATTGAAAGAAATGTCTACGCTTATTTTCTTCTTATTTAATTGAAAGAAATACCTACGCTTATTTTTCTCTTATTTTAATTGAAAGAAATGTCCACGCTTATTTTTCTTATATTATTTTAATTGAAAGAAATGTCTACGCTAATTTTTCTGAGTTATTCTTGAAGAAATTTTAATGTGAAAGAAATGTTTACGCTTATTTTTCTGTGTTATTTTAATTGAAAGAATTGTTTACTTTATTTTCTCTCTCATATTAATTGAAAGAAATGTCTACGCTTATTTTTCTTATTTTAATTGAAAGAAATGTCTACGCTTATTTTTTCTCTTATTTAATTGAGTAGTCACTTATTTTCTCTTATTTTAATTGAAAGAAATCTACGGCTTTTTCTCTTATATTAATTGAAAGAATGTCTACGCTTATTTTTTCTCTTATTTTAATTGAAAGAAATGTCTACGCTTATTTTTTCTCTTATTTAATTGAAAGAAATGGCTACGCTTATTTTTCTCTTATTTTAATTGAAAGAAATGTCTACGCTTATTTTTCTCTCTTATTTTAATTGAAAGAAATGTTTACGCTTATTTTTTCTCTCTCTTATTTTTCTCTTATTTTAATTGAAAGAAATGTCTACGCTTATTTTTTCTTTTCTTTACCTTTCTTTTCTCTTTTCTTTTTATTTTCTTTTCTTTTCTTTCTTTTCTCTTCCTTTTCTTTTCTGTATTTCCTTCAATTTTCTTTTCCTTCAATTTTCTTTCTTTCTTTTTCTTTCTTTTATTTCTTTTACTTTTTTTCTTTCTTTCTTTTCTTTTGTTTTTTCTTTCTTATTTTCTTTTCTCTTATTTCCTTCAATTTTCTTTCCTTTCTTTTCTTTCTTTTCTTTCTTTTTTCTTTCTTTTTTTTTTCTTTTACTTTTTCTTTAACTCTTTCTTTCTGTCTTTTTGTTTTTCTCTTATTTTTTTCTTTCAACCCATTTCCTTCAATTTTTTTTCTTTCTTTCTTTTTTTTCTTTTCTTTCTTTTTTTTTCTTTTTACTTTTCTTTCTCTTTTCTTTCTTTTCTTTTTTCTCTTTTTTTTGCTCTTTCTTTCCTTCAATTTTTTTTTCTTATTTCTTTTTCTTTCTTTCTTTCTTTCTTTGAATTTTCTTTCTTTCTTTTTTCTTTCTTTTTTCTTTTCTTTTACTTTTTCTTTATTTTCTTTTCTTTCTTGTTTTTCTCTTATTTTTCTTTCTTTTCCAACCCCATTTCTTTCTTTTGTTTTTTCTTTTACTTTTCTTGCCTGCTGCTACTCTGTCTTTTTATTTTTCTCTTTCTCTGTCTTTTGTTTTCTCTTATTTTTCCTTCTCCAACCTTTCTTTCTTTTTTCTTTCTTTTCTTTCTTTCTTTCTTTTTTTTTCTTTTTTCTTTTCTTTTTCTTTCTTTTCTGTCTTTTGTTTTTTTTCTTTCTTTGCTATAACCATTCCATTTTCAGTTTTCTTTCTTTTCTTTTCTTTTCTTTTTCTTTTTACTTTTTCTTTTCTTTCTTTCTTTTCTTTTTCTCTTTTTTTTTTCTTCTTTTCTTTTCCTTTAATTTTCCTTGGTTTTTCTTTCTTTCTTTTCTTTTCTTTCTACGCTTATTTTTCTCTTCTTTTTAATTTTCTTTCTTATTCACGCTTATTTTCTCTCTTATATTAATTGAAAGAAATGTCTACTTTTATTTTTTCTCTTATTTTTAATTGAAAGAAATGTTACATTTTTTTTTTCTCTCTTATTTTAATTGAAGAAATTACTTTTTACTTATTTTTTCTCTTATTTTTAATTGAAAGAAATTTTTACGCTTATTTTTTCTCTCTTATTTTAATTGAAAAATTTTCTACCTTATTTTTCTCTTTTATTTTAATTGAAAGAAATGTCATTATTTTCTCGCTTTTTTTTTTCTCTTTTTTTTCTCTTTTAATTGAAGGAAATGTCTTTTTATTTTCTCTTATTTTAATTGAAAAGAAATGTCAATTTTATTTTTCTCTTATATTAATTGAAGAAATGTCTTTTATTTTTCTCTTATTTTAATTGAAAAGAAATGTCTACGCTTATTTTTCTCTCTTATATTAATTGAAAGAAATGTCTACGCTTTCTTTTCTTTCTTTCTTTTCTTTTTTTCTTTTCTTTTCTTTTTACTTTTCTTTGCGCTCTTTCTTCTGTCTTTTTTTTTCTCTTATTTTCTTTTCTTTAACCATTCCTTTAGTTTTCTTTTTTTTCTTTTATTTTCTTTCTTTTTCTTTCTTTTCTTTTTCTTTCTTTCTTTTCTTTTCCTTCTTTTCTTTTCTTTAACTTTCTTTCTTTCTGTCTTTTGTTTTTTTTCTCTTATTTTCTTTTCTTTCAACCATTCCTTCAGTTTTTCTTTCTTTTCTTTCTTTTCTTTTCTGTTTTCTTTTTTTCTTCTTTCTTTCTTTCTCTTTCTTTCCTTTTGTTTTTTTTTCTTTTCTTTCTTCATTTTCTTTTTCTTTCTTTTTTCTTTCTTTCTTTTCTTTTATTTTCTTTTCTTTCTTTTTCTTTTCTTTTTCTTTTTCTTTTATATTTTTCTTTCCAACCATTCCTGTCTTTTTTTTTTTTCTCTTTTCTTTCTTTTGTTTTTCTTTTCTTCAATTTTTTCTTTCTTTCTGTCTTTTGTTTTTCTCTTTTTTTTTCTTTTCAACTTTTCCTTCAGTTTTTCTTTTCTTTCTTTTTGTTTTTTCTTTTCTTTTCTTTTCTTTTTACTTTTCTTTAAGTTTTCTTTCTTTCTTTTTGTTTTTCTCTTATTTTCTTTTCTTTGCTCCTTTCTTTTCTTTCTTTTTTCTTTCTTTTTTTTTTCTTTTCTTTCTTTTACTTTTACTTTCTTTCTTTCTTTCTGTCTTTTATTTTTTTCTCTTATTTTCTTTTCTTTCAACCATTCCTTCAGTTTTTCTTTCTTTCTTTCTTTTCTTTCTTTTGTTTTCTTTTACTTTCTTTTTCTTTTCTTTTTCTTTCTTTGTTTTTTCTCTTATTTTTTCTGTCTTTTTTCTCTTTTTTCTCTTTTCTTTCTTTATTTTTTTTCAATTTTCTTTTCTTTTCTTTTCTTTCTTTTTCTTTCTTTTCTTTTCTTTTTCTTTTCTTTTTCTTTTTCTTTTCTTTCTTTTGTTTTTTCTCTTATTTTTTCTGTCTTTATTTTTTCTCTTATTTCTTTTCTGCTTTTCTTTCCTTTATTTTCTTTTTACTTTTTCTTTCTTTTTTTCTTTCTTTTCTTTTGTTTTTTTTCTCTTTGTTTTTTCTCTTATTTTCTTTTCTTTCAACCATTTTTTCTTTTTTTTTCTTTCTTTCTTTCTTTCTTTCTTTTCTTTTCTTTTCTTTTCTTTTACTTTTTCTTTAACTCTTTCTTTCTGTCTTTTGTTTTTTTCTCTTATTTTCTTTTCTTTCAACCATTCCTTCAGTTTTTCTTTCTTTCTTTCTTTCTTTCTTTTGTTTTTCTTTTACTTTTTCTTTAACTCTTTCTTTCTGTCTTTTGTTTTTTTCTCTTATTTTCTTTTCTTTCAACCCATTCCTTTGATTTTCTTTTCTTTTTTCTTCTTTTCTTTCTTTCTTTCTTTTCTTTTCTTTTCTTTTCTGTCTTTGTTTCTCTTCTTTCTTTTCTTTCAACCCATTTTTATTTTTTCTTTTCTTTCTTTAATTGAAAGAAATGTCTACGCTTATTTTCTCTCTTATTTTAATTGGAAAGAAATGTCTACGCTTATTTTCTCTCTTATTTTAATTGAAAGAAATGTCTACGCTTATTTTTCTCTCTTATTTTAATTGAAAGAAATGTCTACGCTTATTTTTCTCTTATATTAATTGAAAGAAATGTCTACGCTTATTTTTCTCTCTTATTTTAATTGAAAGAAATGTCTACGCTTATTTTTCTCTTTATTTTAATTGAAAGAAATGTTAATTGAAAGAAAGGTCTACGTCTTATTTTTCTCTTATTTTAATTGAAAGAAATGTCTGCCTTATTTTTCTCTCTTATTTTAATTGAAAGAAAATGTCTTATTTTTCTCTCTTATTTTTAATTGAAAGAAATGTCTACGCTTATTTTTCTCTCTTATATTAAAGAAGAAATGTCTACGCTTATTTTTTCTCTTATTTTAATTGAAAGAAAATTTACGCTTATTTTTCTCTCTTATTTTTCTCATTTTTTTTACTTTTCTTTTCTTACTGTCTTTTTGTTTTCTCTGTTCTTTCTTTGTATTTCCTTCTTTTTCTTTCTTTTCTTTTATTTTACTTTTCTTTTTACTTTTTCTTTCTGTCTTTTTTTTTTCTTTTGTTTTCTTTTCTTTCTTTCTTTCAACCCATTTTCCCAGTTTTCTTCTTTCTTTCTTTTCTTTTTTCTTTTCTTTTTTTTTTTTCTTTACTCTTTCTTTTCATCTTTATTTTTTCTTATTTTCTTTTCTTTCAACCATTCCTTCAGTTTTTCTTTCTCTCTTTTCTTTCTTTTGTTTTCTTTTACTTTCTTTTTCTTTCTTTCTTTCTTATTTTTCTCTTTTTTGCTTTTCTCAACCATTCCTTGGTTTTCTTTCTTTTCTTTCTTTTCTTTCTTTATTTTTTTTTACTTTTCTTTTTTCTCTTTCTTGTCTTTTGTTTTTTTTCTCTTTTTTCTTTTTCTTTCCTTCTTTTTTTTCTGTCTTTTGTTTTTTCTCTTATTTTCTTTTCTCAACCCATTCCCTTGATTTTCTTTTCTTTCTTTCTTTTCTTTTCTTTTATTTTACTTTTCTTTGCTCTTTCTTTCTGTCTTTTTTTTCTCTTATTTTAATTGAAAAGAAATGTCTACGCTTATTTTTCTCTTTTCTTTCTTTTCTTTCTTTTCTTTCTTTCTTTTCTTTTCTCTTTTACTTTTCCTTGCTCTTTCTTTCCTGCCTTTTATTTTTTCTCTTATTTCTAATTGAAGAAATGTCTACGCTTTTTTTCTTTCTTTCTTTCTTTTCTTTCTTTTTACAATTGAAAGAAATCTCTTTTGTTTTTTCTCTCTTATATTAATTGGAAAAGACATTTCCTTATTTTCTCTTTTTTTTCTTTCTTTGTCTTTTCTTTTTTTTTCTTCACTTTTAATTAGAGAAAATTTCTCTCTTTGTTTTTTCCTCTCTTATTTTAGTCAAAGAAATGTTTGCAACTTCTTTTTCTCTCTCATATTCTTTTCTTTTTCTTCTGCTTTTTCTTTTCTCTCAATTAATTGTCTTTTTTGTTTTTCGCTTATTTTTCTCTCTTATTTTAATTGAAAATGTCTGCTCTTATTTTCTCTCTTTATTATTGAAAGACTTTTCTTTGCTCTTTCTTTTTGTCTTTTTGTTTTTTTAATTGAAAAAGAAAACTACTCTACGCTTATTTTTCTTTCTTGTTTAATTGAAAATGGCTACGCTTATTTTCTCTCTTTATTTTTAATTTTCTTTTCTTTTCTTATTTTTTTCTTTTACTTTTCTTTAAAAGAAATGTCTATATTTTATTTTTCTCTTATTTTAATTGAAAGAAATGTCTACTTATTTTTTCTCTCTTTATTAATTGAAGAAATTTCTACTTTTGTTTTTCTCTCTTATTTTTAATTTTGTTTTTTTCTGCTACTTTTCTTTCCATTCTGAATTTCGCTTTATTTTTCTCTCTTATATTTTGAAAGAAATGTTTTACTTTTCTTTGCTCTTTTTCTGTCTTTTTTTTTCTCTCTTATTTTAATTAAGTAATTTCTACGCTTATTTTTCTCTCTTATTTTAATTCGAAAGAAATGTTTACATTATTTTTCTCTCGGCCTAATTGGAAAGAAATGTCTACGCTTATTTTTTTCCTCTCTCTTCATTTTAATTGAAAGAAATGTCTACGCTTATTTTTTCTCTCTTATTTTAATTGAAAAATATCTTCGCTTATTTTTTCTCTCTTATTTTAATTGAAAGAAATGTCTATGCTTATTTTTCTCTTATTTAATTGAAAGAAATGTCTTTTCCCTCTTATTAATTTTTTTCTCTTATTTAATTGAAAAAATGTTCACGCTTATTTTCTCTCTCTTATATTAATTGAGAAATGTCTCGCTTATTTTCTTCTTTTTAATTGAAAGAAAAGCTCACGCTTATTTTTTCTTCTTATTTTAATTGAAAAAAATGTCTACGCTTATTTTTTCTCTTGTATTAATTATAAAAAATGTCTTTTGTTTATTTTTTCTCTCTTATTTTTTTATTTGAAAAATGTCTACGCTTATTTTTTCTTATATTTTCTCTCTTATTTTTTTTAATTGAAAGAAAATGTCTACGCTTATTTTCTCTGTATTTAATTGAAGAAATGGCTACGCTATTTTTCTCTCTTATTTTTAATTGAAAGAAATGTTCATTTATTTTTCTCTCTTATTAATTGGTAAAAATGTCTACGCTTTTTTTCTCTCTTATTTTTAATTGAAAGAAATGTCTACGCTTGTTTTCTCTCTTATTTTAATTAATTTTTCTTTTTATATTAATTGAAATGTCTACCTTATTTTTCTCTCTTATTTTAATTGAAGGAAATGTCTACGCTTATTTTCTCTTTTTTAATTGTTGAAATGTCTACGCTATTTTTCAGTTTGAATTGAAAGAAATGTCTTATTTTTCTCTTATATTAATTGAAAATGTCTCATATTTAATTTTTCTCTCTTATTTTATTTGAAAGTAATGTTTCTTATTTTCTCATTAATTGATTTTTCTCTCTTATTTAATTGAAGAAATGTTTGCTTGTTTTCTCTCTGACAATTAAAAAAAATGTCTACGCTATTTTCTCTTATGTTATTTTTCTCTCTCATTTTAATTGAAAGAAAATGTCTACGCATATTTTTTCTCTCTTATTTTAAAGAAAAGGTGTCTTCTACGCTTTATTTTCTCTCTTATTTTTATCTTATATTAAAAAGAAATGTCTATGCTTATTTTTTGTCTATTGTTTTTTTAATTGAAAGAAATGTCTACGCTTATTTTTCTCTCTTATTTTAATTAAAAGAAATGTCTACGCTTTATTTTTTCTCTTATATTAATTGAAAGAAATGTCTACGCTTATTTTTCTCTCTATTTTAATTGAAAGAAATGTCCACGCTTATTTTTCTCTTATTTAATTGAAAAGAAATGGCTACGATTATTTCCTCTTATTTTAATTGAAAAAGAAACTTACGCTTTTTTTCTCTTATTTTAATTGAAAAAATGTCCACGCTTATTTTTTCTCTCTTATTTTAATGAAAGAAATGTTACTTTTATTTTTCTCTTATTTTAATTGATAGAATTGTCTACGCTTTATTTTTTCTCTCTTATTTTTTTTATTTTAATTGAAAGAAATGTTTACGCTTATTTTCTCTCTCTTATATTAATTGAAAGAAATATCTATGCTTATTTTTCTTATTTTAATTGAAAGAAATGTCTACGCTTATTTTTCCTCGTTATTAATTGAAAGAAAATGTCTACGCTTTTTTTCCTTTTATTTAATTGAAAGAAATGTCTATTATTTTTCTACTTGAAAAAATTATTTTCTTCTTATTACTGAAAGAAATGTCTACGCTTATTTTTCTTTCTTATTTTAATTGAAAGAAATGTCTTACGCTTCTTTGAAAAATGTTTTTTTTTCTCTGTATTAATTGAAAGAAATGTTCATGCTTATTTTTTCTTTTATTTTAATTCGAAAGAAATGTCTGCTTATTTTTCTCTTATTTTAATTGAAAGAAATGTCTACGCTTATTTTTTTCTCTTATTTTAATTGAAAGAAATGTCTATGCTTATTTTTCTTTATATTAATTGAAAGAAATAAGTGCTTACGCTTATTTTCTCTCTCTTATTTTAATTGAAAGAAATGTCTACGCTTATTTTTTCTTATTTTAATTGAAGAATGGCTCGATTATTTTTCCTCTCTTATTTAATTGAAAGAAAGGTCTACGCTTTTATTTTTTTCTCTCATTTTAATTGAAAGAAATGTCTACGCTTATTTTTCTCTCTTATTTTAATTGAAAGAATGTCTATTTATTTTTTTTTCTTATTTTAAAAAGAAATGTTTGACGCTTATTTTTTCATTTATTAATTGAAAGAAATGTCTACGCTTATTTTTCTCTTATTTTAATTGAAAGAAATGTCTTAAACTTATTTTTTAATATTTATAAAATTGAAAGAAATGTCTATTATTTTTTCTCTCTTATTTTAATTGAATGATTAATGTTCACTCTTATTTGAAAGAAATGTCTTATTTTAATTGAAAAAAATGTTCTACGCTTATTTTTAATCTCTCTTATATTAATTGAAAGAAATGTCTACGCTTATTTTTCTTTATTTTTTGAAAGAAATCTTATTTTTTCTCTCTTATTTTAATTGAAAGAAATGAAAATGCTTATTTTTCAAAAAATATTAATTGATAGAATTGTTCATGCTTATTTTTCTCTTTTACAATTGAAAGAAATGTCTACGCTTATTTTTCTCTTATTTTAATTGAAAAAATGTGTTCACGCTTATTTTTTCTCTTTATTTTAATTGAAAGAAATGTCTACGCTTATTTTTCTTTATTTTTAATTGAAAGAAATGTTTACGTTTATTTTTCTCTTTACCACAAGAAGAAAAGAAACGTTTACGATTATTTTTTCTCTTATTTTAATTGAAAGAAATGTCTACGCTTTATTTTTTCTTTATTTTAATTTTGAAATGTCTACGCTTTTATTTTTCTTTATTTTAATAGAAATTTATTACGCTTTATTTTTTCTTATTTTTTAATTGAAAGAAAAATGTCTACGCTTATTTTTCTCTATTTATTTTGAAAAGAAATGTTCACGCTTATTTTTTCTCTCTTATAAAGAAATGTCTACGCTTATTTTTCTCTTATTTTAATTGGAAAGAAATGTCTTATTTTTCTCTTATATTAATTAAAAGAAATGCTATGATTATTTTTTTTCCCTATTTTAATTGAAAAAATGTCTATGCTTTTTTTTTCTTATTTTAATTGAAAGAAATGGCTGCTTTTATTTTTCTCTCACATATTAATTGATTATTTTACGCTTATTTTTCTTTTCATATTAATTGAAAGAAATGTTCACTTTATTTTTCTCTTATTTTAATTGAAAAAAATGTTACGCTTTTTTTTTCTTATTTTAATTGAAAGAAATGTTCATGCTTATTTTTTTCTCTTATTTTAATTGAAAGAAATGTCTACGCTTATTTTTTCTCTCTTATTTTAATTGAAAGAAATGTCTACGATTATTTTTTTCTCTTATTTTAATTTTACCTTATTTTCTCTTATTTTAATTGAAAGAATTGTTACATGCTTATTTTTTTTCTCTTATTTTAATTGAAAAGAATGTCTACGCTTATTTTTCTCTTATTTTAATTGAAAAAAAATGTCTTATTTTTCTTATTTTTGAAGAAACAACCCTTATTTTCTTTCTTATTTTAATTGAAAGAAATTTTTCTCTCTTATATTAATTGAAAGAAATTTTTTTCTCTTATTTTAATTGAAAGAAATGTCCACGCTTATTTTTCTCTTTATATTAATTGAAAGAAATGTCTACGCTTTTTTTTTCTCTCTTATTTTAATTGAAAGAAATGTCCACGCTTATTTTTTTTCTTATATTAATTGAAAGAAATGTTTACGCTTATTTTTTCTCTTATTTTAATTGAAAGAAATGTTTATGCTTATTTTTCTCTCTTATATTAATTGAAAGAAATGTCTACCTTATTTTTTCTTTCATTTTAATTGAAAGAAATGTCTACGCTTATTTTTCTCTTCTTAATTAATTGAAAGAAATGTCTACGCTTATTTTTTCTCTATTTTATTTGAAAAGAAATGTCTACGCTTATTTTCTCTTATATTAATTGAAAGAAATGTCTACGCTTATTTTTCTCTTATATTAATTGAAAGAAATGTCTACGCTTATTTTTTTTCTCTCTTTATTTTAATTGAAAGAAATGTCTACGCTTATTTTTTCTCTTATTTTTAATTGAAAGAAATGTCTTATTTTCTCTCTTATTTTTCTTATTTTATTAGTTCGAAAAGAAATGTTGCTTTTATTTTTCTCTCTTATTTTAATTGAAAGAAATGTCTACGCTTATTTTCTCTCTTATTTTAATTGAAAGAAATGTCTACGCTTTTTTTTTCTCTTTTATTTTAATTGAAAGAAAGAAATGTCTACGCTTATTTTTCTCTTATTTTAATTGAAGGAAATGTCTGCCTTATTTTTCTCTCTTATATTAATTGAAAGAAATG